AGATTGCAACCAGTAATATTTTTTGCGATGCAAGAAAGGTGCGTGAATTAAATCTTAAGGCCAGCCGTGTCAAGAGCGGTCCATTTACCTTGAACTTAAAAAGACCGACGTAAGTGTATTCATAAGTCTGCATATACATTTATACGGCATTTCCAATAAAATACATAAAACAAGCTTCTGAACATGAAGATTTATGGTCATTTTTTACCAAAATATGTACGCTTTAGCCACCCGAAAAAATGTATGTTGTGGAGCATAATCCTATTGTAATTTGACTACCACATATAGATGTTTACGTTTGGTTATTGTTTATCTATCTCCTCAGTCTTATTCAAATTTTTATTTTATCTCGCAAACTTATTTTCTTTAAAAATCGGCAATGCCAATTTTTTTTGGCTTTACGAGTATAATAACTTACAAAGTCATAACTCCCTAAAACTGGGCGTCACTGGCACACACACATTATACACATTTTATTTTGCTTAACTTGACTTCAGTTCAGAATACGTTAGGAATTCTTGTGTAGAAAGTTTCATACTCGCGACATGGTGGTCCATTGTGAGTGCGCTTTGAGAGGCCAAAGCGAAAACAGAGAATAATCAAAGCATGAACTGGCTGAACCGTTACATATCCAAAATGAAATTGAGAAGGCTCAGGAGTTCGAACTCCGAATTCCCTGCCAGACTTAGGAAAAAGTGTAACGCCAAGTATATATATATATATATATAAGTCGCTTGCTCTGTTTCCCCTAAGCGCGCAAAATTGTCAGTTGAGTTCTTTTATTCTCATCGCTTCAACTTCTGCATTGTCTGCTCGTTGATATTCGCCATCGTTGAAGTTTTGGTGGAATGACTCCGTGATGACATCAGCAAATACTGCAGATCTGATGAATTCCAGAAGATCTTCCGTCGTTATTGTATTTTACCTTGGCCTCGACCACCTTTTTTCGATCCTTGTTCCAAGCAACATAAAAAAAAGTCAAATATCGTTCGCTCATCGGCCGTCAATCCTCCAAGTGTAATTCTGCCTTGAAAAAGCTTCTCAATAAAACCATTTGCCATTCAGAGGTGGCGTCAAATTGTAGGTCCCTCCTTGCTCAGAGTTTTACATGGGCATCTATTGAGCAGGGTTGGGTACACTGCACTAAATGTTTAATGCACTGAGCATTTCATTACCACGATTCGTGTAGTGGTAGTGAAATTTGAAATGCATTACCACTAAATTTTAAGTTTGCTTTGCGAATGAAAAAAAATGCATTATGTACGCGTAAGCTGATGTACGATATGGCGTATGAGTAACATTTTTTCCTGTTCCTATTTTATGCAAAAATTATTGCACATTTTCATTTGACTATTCAAAACATGGCAAATTATGGATCAATTTTCATCGTTAGCAGCTTGATTTTATAGCAAAAGAACAGCCTTTAATACAAATGATAAAAAAAATACAAAATAATATGTTTCTTCTTAATTTTTTCTCTGTTAATATTAGAGCTTTTGTACATAAAAATGAAAATGTCTTGGGAAAATTAGCAGATCTAGAAACATACGGCAAACATATCCGTAATCTAACACCCAATCTTAATTTCACCTGTGTCGTAATTTTTTTGTGTAATTTCGCGACTTTAGATTTCCCCGGCCGTGTAATTAGCTTTTAAATTAGTAAAATGCAACAAAAAAATTACTATTTTAAAAATTTTTTGCAATGTTGAATAACAATATGTATACCAAATAAAAGAGAAAATTCCGTATAATTAAAAAAAAAAATTGGTTCACAATGACGAATAGGTATTGTAAATGGTATTTTAATTAATTATATTTTCTTAAGCTTATAAAATTATAAGGACGAAATTCATATATTCATAGCATATTTTTTTTTCAAAATTATTATTGAAAAATTTCAAGGATATTCAAGGATACAATTTTAAAAGGACATTTTCAATAATCCATAGACCGTATGCACCTAAAAATCTAATCGGCTTTATTTCTACAGATTTTTTCTTTAATTTGATACCCATAATGTTTTCTTACATTGCACTAAATTTTTTAAATAATGTTTTGTATTAATCATATCTTTCAAAAATCAAAGACCCTTTGAACAAAATCCTGACGCCAGAGAGAAAAAATAAAAACGCAGCTTTACTATATTTGACCAATAGTTTCGCGAATACAATCGCATTTCTAAAATCAAGTCTTCCTGATATTTACCACCAGAAAAACATTAACTTCCGTGTCATCAAGAAACAAATTAAAGAAATGCCAAAAGCAGCGACCTAAAACGTTTTTCGCTTTCAACGAGATTGCAATCGAAGCTTGGTAAGACAGGTCGAGAGACGACAAACTGCCTTTAAATATGCTTAGCTTGAATACACACACAACCCTACTCATAGAGTACCATCCAATGCTTTTTTGTTTTTGTATTACAACGCCATTTCACGAAAATTTAACAGCAGACAACTTGCTTGCTTGAGTGAGTCGGAAAAGAAAATTCGCGTAGTTGTTAGGAAATTTTTATGCATCCGCTTTGCGGCCAATACCCCGGAAATGAAAGAGAAAATTATCGCTGTTTTAACAGCGACTTGAAAGGCTTAAATGGGAGCAGCAACAAGAAATACTTACTTTAAAAAAAATAAAAAAATAAATCTATACTAAAGGATTGTCAAGAAGTCAAAGAACGCTACGAGCAGCAAAGTAGAGTGGCGCTGCGTAGGTGCAAGTGTTGAAAGAAAATTCCAGCAGCGAATGGAGAATGCAGAAAGACGACCGCAGACGCTCGCTGTCGACAAATCTAAGGTTAAGAAAATTTGCAAGGCTGAGTAAAAGGAAAGTTTCAGGCAGGCAGTGTTGGCGCTGGTTGGTGGTGGTTGGTTGCAAAGTAGCGAAACGCCGCATTTGCCGCCGATGTTATTGCCAGTCAGTGAAGCCATTAAAAGTGGCAGTTACAAGTAACAGATTAAGCAGTAAAAGTTTTAGACGGCCAATTGGTCGTCTATTTGTCGAGCTAAGTAGGTTAGGTAGTTGAAACTTTTTCGCATTTCGCGACTAACTACTTCAGTAGAATCGTAAATTAAATTGAGCGAGCTTCATGAGCAAAGTATACATAGTCAAATGAATTTTTAAATACTGTCTGTCTTAACTGTAAAATAAGGCCACATATGGATGTGTGTATCAAATACTGCATTTATACTTACAGTGAAATTTTTCTGATTATTCTACCATGTTATTCTCTAAAAAGCTTCGTTCAAAAAGATTTGACATATCGGAGAATTCCGTTAGGGCTAGCTGCACCACAGCTTGTTAATAAATCTGGTGGCTCAAACTTGAGGTCTATTAAGATTTCTGGACATAATTCTTGACTAATACCTTACACATCATCTTCTCCTTAGTTGGCCTTCAGGAGAGTTTTCTATCCTGAATTACGCTTTTATACATAGTTGAGTTTTAAGAAAGCACAAGTAGAACACTGCGAGGGAAGTTGATTATAATACTATAACTATGCATATTATATCTTGGTGAAAAGGACGAGCTCGGTCTTAGACAGCCTGGTGGAAAGACGCTCGCTTTGCCAATACCTTCAAAATATCGTTAGAAAACTTAAGTCAGTTGGCATTACAACTAGTCTAAGCTATCTTAGTAAGGCGGCGAAAAACTTTACGTCCAAATAGCACTTCAGTGGAATTTTTGAACTATAAATTTTGTATTTCTGCATGCGTTGAAAGTAAACTTGGATAGAAATCCAGGAATTTTACTAAAAGCCTTCTCGATATCGATATGCAAAACATATTCCACTGCCCTGAGAATAGGTGCGCTGAGAGAGGGAACATTCCAGAGTCTCAAAGCGAAAATTCCTTCGGATAAAAAAAGAATAAATGTCACCCGCTCGGTCGTCCACAGTTTAGAGATATAGGCCCCAAGCATGCAAATCTCCGAAAGTTGCACGAGGAGAAATATTTCATTTACGGTTTAAACTTAGTAAACAGCTCTCAAGAAAAATGAAAAATTCATATAATATAACATTCAAGATATAGCTAGCGATAGAGAGCCAAATTTTGCTAAGTCCACTTTTTATGAAAACTCATATTTTGATACAGGAAGCAATTGACATTGAAAATGCATAGTTTCTAAAAGCATTAAGCTAGCGATATTGGGGTTCAAACCCCCTGTGAAGCGAAATATGCATAAAAATTTTCCATCATTTTGTTTAACATAATAATGGTAAAAAATATTTTAAGTTCTCAAATATTTAAGATCTTTTTAATTTAAGCCAGAAGGGTGTGTCCGCAACGCTAGGATTTGTTCATATGGCCGTACTCGTACATGGCGTATGAGTAACATTTTCCATGCTAAACCGCCCTATTCCAACACCACTGACAAAACTCAGCGGCTGACTATTGCCTTTACTACTGCGCCTAATACTATGCCGCAAATTTTTTTAAGCTGTCGTTGAAAATTGTCAGTTTTATTGTTATGACCTACTGAGTAAGTGACAACGTTTTAGGCGCAGTAATTGTGACAATAGTCATATGATGAATTTTGTCAATGTTGTGGGAATAGGGCGGAAAGTTTCAATTGTTATTCAATCGCAATGCAAACTTAAAACGAAAATATTTTGGAAAAAGTACCTAAAATTAGGTTAACGTTGCTCGGCGTTTTTTGTGGCATTTGAGAGCCCCTACATTGTAATAGAAAATATTTCTTCAGGGGTTTCTTGATATAATAATATTTACCTGGAAAAGCTGTTATAAACAAATGCTAAGCATTCTCATTGTACTATAACATTGAGTGAGAAATTGGAATGCCCATAAAGGGTTGCTATAACCCTAAAGACTACTTCGTATAGGCACTGCATATACAGAGCCTGCTTCATAGTTATTTTGAGCATCGACATTACTAAGGAGGGGCTTAGCAATTTTAGTTTCGCATACGCTTAGCTTAACAAACCTTATAAATACCCACTTCTCTCATCTATATATACATAAATACACATTCCCCTCTACTCACCCAACGTTTGGCTCAGCACCGTGCGCCCATCCTCGCCATGGCAAGCGTTGCGTGCATCAAACGGATTTGTGAACTGCACAAATGCATAGCCCTTATGCATTGATATGCCTGCAAGTAACGATAAAGAGAAAACAACAACAAAAATTTCATTATTTTTACTTCAACTAAGTAGGTTTAGAATATAGTCCACACTTTCACTTACCCGCCAACCGTCCATAGATCTGAAACATGCGTTCCACATCTGTCTTCGAACACTGGAACGTATTCAAATTGCCCACAAAAATGCGCGAATTCACCGCCTGCGGATCCTGCGAGTTCGTCTGATTGGACAACTTTGACATCTTCATTGTGTCGGCGATATTGAGAAAATGTGACGCCGTATGCTTATAGAAGCTATTGGGGCTGCTGGCCGCACTGCTGCTTACGCTGTTGTTAGCCGTGATGGCGGTTATTTTGGAAGCGTATGACGGTGACTCGGTATCGCAATGTGCGCTATGCGGAGAGTGGATGTGTGAGTGCGGCGAGTAGAGATGTGTCGCAGGCGATGGCAGAAGCACAACCTTCGGTGGCGTTTGCTTTAGCAGCGGATGAGAACCGGCGGCGGCGGCGGCGGCGGCAGCAGCGGCGTGTAGATGAGCCGACAACTGCTGATGTTGCTGCTGCTGCTGCTGCTGCTGCTGGTGGTGCTGTTGCGAATGCAGATGCTGTGGAAGGTGGTGATTGTGCTCAGGGCACGTCGGCGTAAAATATAAAAACGCAATGATGGAAATTTAATAGAAAAACCGGTGCTGACGAAAAAAGGAATTGTCGGAATGCGAAGTATGCGCGTCACAAGTGGATGGGTGGTTGTGCGACGCAGCTGTGTAGCTGCTGCCACTGTCGTGCTTACGAAATACCAACGCCACTGATGGATTTATTTCTGGAATTTCAACTTATCCAGCCGTTGCTCTCTTTCGCCGCCCACTCGTCAGTCGCAGGATTATTTCAATAAAGCGCCTTAGCCGACGAGACCTTGGTCGTTGTGTGTGGATGTGGGCGTGCGTTACATAAAATTTCACTTTACTTGTGTGTGGGTGTGTGTGTGGTATTTTTTAGGCGGAGTTGTTTATTCTTTGTCGGCTTTCTGCTCAAACGCCCAGGATTAGGCTCGAGTACGTGCTTGTGTGTGCTCGTTTGTTTGCACAAATGATTTGCTTCGTATAAATTATTTTTTTTTTTCGCCGTTCTTTGGTACTCGTATTTCGGATTGCGGCTGATTGTGGGGTTAGCTCATAGTTTGCTCGTTTGCATTGTCCAGCGGAAAAGCGGCAAACGCACACACAATTGCTGTTGTTGTTGTTGTTGCTGGTGGTTACGTCGACTTAACGTTGCTGTTGCTGTTACTGATGCTGATGCTGTTGTTGTTGATGGCGTAACCGCAGTTATTGATAACAATCGGCGCACAAAAACCGTACACAATGGATTAAAAAATCTGCAAAAAAAAACAGTGAATGAAAAGAGATGAAGCAAAGTTATAAATGGAGAAAAAATCATTTAAATTGAGAATATGGATAAAAAATGGTCCAACAAGAAAATGTTAATAAGTCCATCATATAACAACAAGTTGTACTATTGTTCGAGCGAGGCGAGCGAGAGATTAACGTTGGTATTATACTATTTGTATGAGTGTGCGTGCTTGTGTTTTTTATGCGCCTAAAAGCACACTCACACACACATTCACATTCTTACGAGTTTATCCTCGCTCGGCGGTTATAATTGATTTTTCGTATTAAAATTCGATTTTCGGTATTAAAAATACACAACACGAAATGCACTGAAATTCAATTAATTTAAGTAGCTTAAATTTTGATTGATTCTTTTTATTAAGTGCGGATTTTTTTTTTGATTTTTAATGCATGCGAGATTGGAAAAAAGTAATCTTTAAAGAACCGCATTTGCATAGTTTGAGTGCACTTATTTTCTCGAACTCAGCTGGGAGGTATTTGTTCGCAATCTATGAGGTAAGCATTGTGGGTGTACACACCCGTCATATAAAGCCACAGTGGTGCCAATCTGGAATTTACTGTTCTAATTAGTCCAGAGTCTTCATTTTACAACCAACTGTATTCATTTAAGTGAAAACCGATGGGATTTAAAAGAGACTTGTTGAGCCCGATTTTTTAATTTTTATTTGTTTATATGAAATTTTTAAGTGCAAAGTGCAGAGAGGGTAGCAATTGTGAAGAAAATCGGATTTTCTGGTTCCGTTAAAGAATGTTATATAACAAAATCTAGTTTAAAAAAATTAAAATGTTGCTCTAAAAAGAACAAAAAATTGCAAGGAAATTTTTTAAATTTAATACATAAACAAATTTCACCAAATTTTTTTTTTTAGGAAAAGGTATGCAGTAATACAGCCTATTAAATTTATCTAAGTACAGAAAAGTGCTGTTTTTTTAAATAAAAAAATAGTAATTTTGCTGACATTTTTCTTTATAGCAATTCAAATATTTCTTCTGTCATTTTTTTCGTTTTGGGGGCACCCTATAATTATTTTTAACTAGTTTTTATTATGCAACATTGCTTAGCAGGAATCGGGAATTGATTATCTTCAAATTGCTACTTTCTCTTCAATTGCTACTTTTTATATAAAAAAATTAAAACTTCAAAATCGGCCTTGAAAACCCTTTTTTAATCTGATCAGCTTTTGATTAAATTTATCAAATCGGTTGAAATATGACCGCTCCAGACTATTTTTAATAGTAAATTCCAGTAGGCTACCACTGTCAGACGGCGACAACAGGCAAAAGCAATACCGCCCGTGTCCGCGCTACGAATACTGACCCCTGTCAATGCATTCAGCTTACCTATCCCTTACAACGTATGAAGTTGCCGAAGTGGACGAGTAAGAGTAACCAGCGAGACAATTCTACTATTGGGTAATGTGCATCCCAAGCTTATTAAATCATTTTACGAGGATTGCCTTTTAACAGCGGCCTTATCCAGGAGTTATAAATATTTACATGTATATGTATGTGTATTAGAGTCTGATAAAGGGAATTCAAGGTAGCCTTTCTATAGCTCTTTCAACGAAGGAAAATTTGGGGTGTGCCAATTATATCTAATCATTATTCGCTTTTCAAATTCCCGAATTTATCAGTTGAAAACTGGTCGCAGTGAAGCTGAATTTATCTTTCCACAAAACCACGCAAGACCTCATCATCCTATATGATGTCAGAAGCACAAGATTCTCTGAAAATAGGGAAACGCAATGTAAATGATTTAAGCAACATTGACCTAGTGACGTCTTCATCCACATTAACTCCCACTACGAATCCTGTTCCTTCTGAACTCAACCACATATATGCATATATTCTGTAGCAAATAAGACTTCTTTCGAATTCGAAACTCTTTAAGATATTGCTCAACCTTAAATTGCCACTGTTCAGCCCATTATGTACAATTTACTAAGAAGATTGTCATCCATTGTTGGACAGACAACTCTTATCTTAAACCGACTACTTTTCCAGCAATCCTTTTGAAAGCACTTCACTCCCTTTCAGCGCGCATTCTCCTCGATCCCTTCGCACTTCGCTTTGTATGTGTGTTTATTTATTCGTTTTTGTGTGTGTGTATTTGTATTTGTGTATCTGTGTGTGCCTTAATGAAAATGGAAATCTAAATAAAGCAAACACCAGAAACACAACAAAGCATTCATTACAAGGACAATGGAACAAACAGCTCACTGTCACTCAGTCAACCATGCAACCATGCAACCAACCACCCACACTGGCGTGCAGCCTATTGAGGCATAGTAGCGACGAAGAAGAATAGGAGACATTTTAGCTGGAAATGCAGTTGCGATGGCAGTCAATGCGCAGCGCAGACAGCCATTGAAGCATTGAGTCATTCATTTAGTCATTTATACAGAAATGCGCTCACTTTTATACATTTATATATACATACATACATATGTACTTGTGCTATTCATGCATTCAAGCGGTGTGTGTTTGTTTATTCAGGCGAATTTATTGTCATAAATATTTTTCATTTCCGAAACAACACGCAAACAATGCCTTGCAATGGCGCAACTTTGCCGCTTCGAAGAGTCTTATGAACGAGTAAATATACATATAAAAGCTAACCATACACTCCCTTACGTGTGTGTTTGTGTGCATAGTTTAAAAAAAAAAAATACCTTTACAACACCCGTACATAAAGGAACTATTATTACTTATTCCTTTTATTTTAAATTAAATACTTCATTTACTTCTCATCCGTTTTCTCTTGTCATTATTTTGTGCCTACTCTTGCAAACGCAATCAACACGTCACTATTATGGCACATGTGTTGCATGCAACATGCATGCATTTCCTTCGTTAACATAGATACATATTTTACATTCTCATACATACATATGTATGTTTATGAAGGTTGCATGACCAGCTGAATTTTTACCTTCGCCGGTAACACCTTTCGTCAATTCATTGGTTTAATAGTTTGCCATTTCCAACTGGCATACTTTTTTTTTAATCCAGCTATTCATTTCATACGTCGTTAGTGTCGCTTATCTGACAGTTATTTATTTTATTGTTAGTCATAAAGTCATAATGCTACTTATTATGGGTGAAATATCTGAGGACATATGACAATGAGGCATGCATAAGTTGAGATGAGGTGACTTCGAATAATACAAAGGCGCAAAAAGGAGCTTTTGGTTTTTCATTTCAATTTTTTTCGCTGAATGCAAATGTGTAGTTCTCAGATGGTTTTTAAAACAAATATTATATCAATTGTGTGTGAGAGCAAATAAAAAACCTTAGCACAAAACGCTTATATCTTTACACTTTTTTATCAAAGGTAATTTTGTGCTAACACACGATATCTCCCTTAATATTTTATCGAACTCAATGATTGGGACCTCATCTTAATGAGAGCGCAAAAATAGTCACGTTTATCAAATTTAATCATTTCTGAAAAAAGTGTCTATAAATAATAAGCCAAGCGCAATATACTCGTCAATCCGGCTTAATAACTTCCACAGTAATCCATAAAATTTAATTAGTGAAACGCCATTTTGGAGATTCGTTATAGTTGTTCTTCCCGAGTGCAGATAGGTACTTCATCTGTTGATATTTTCATTGTGTTTGTCTGTGCCATTACTTTATTTGTCCACCAGAAGGTGTCGATCCGGAGTCTACAGACGTTCAAACGGTTTTGGCATCTGCCGTTCGTATTTTCACAGGTAAATTGAAGCTGACTTCGAAATACTGCTCATGATTATTAAAAAAAAAAAAAACGATTAAGGTGTTTTTTGAAGGAATAGATAATAATTATTTAAAAGCATCTTAGTGCTTAAAGTTGGACATTCCTTAGAG